GTTTTAGTTTCGTTTATTAAACGAACCAAAATTAACTAACTTAAATAATTTGTTTACATTAGTTGTTGGAACTTGTAATACAACATAAGGATAATATATGAAATACAAAGGAAATAAGGAAAAAAACAAATTTAACCCAAATCTCGAAGATCTAAGAAACACATTTTTGTAATAAATCCAAATTCAAAGATTTGGGGCGTTACACATATTTTGCAAATTTTACATTTTAGTAAGGGTAACAAGAAACATATTTAACTAGAATAAAAAATAGAACTTTGCCATTATTAACTAATTAAACAGACAAATCCCTATATTAGAAATAACAAATAACACCTCATTCTTTCAAATTTTAGTTATTATTAATTTCTTATCCCAAAAATGATTTTTTTTTTTCACTAGTTCTTACATCTATCTTTTTCATAAATTATATTTTGTCGTGTCAAATATCTTTAAAAAATTTAAAACATTATATTGGATTTTTTATTGTCTACTATTTATTTACAGTATTTACATTTATCTTCTATTTCAAAATATTATAAAGCTGACAACCTCAACTTGAAATAAATTTACAAAAAAAGGTTTGTTAAGTATTGCATAATTTAAGAGTAATGATATGTAGCTCCACTGGGGTTACAACCTCAATTCAGGCGGCTTTAGATGTTAGGCTAAATGAAAGATTTAATTAAATGTCTTATTTAATTTCACATTTCATTTAATGACACGTTAACGCTATCTAAACTGAGATTAAATAACATTACTCGTAATGGTGTGATTTGATTTTTTTTTTTTTTTTTAATTTATGGTATTTTAGTTTGTTAAGCCATTTATAATGACAATATCATGACTTTTTTTTATTTTCTTAATAAAGGTATTTCTTGTCATCATTAAGCAAAACAATAAATCTATTTGTACAAAGTTAAGTTACAAAAGTTGGGTTACAAAGTATGTTGACAAAATTCAGACAGTTGATTTCAAATGATTTAAAAATCTGTTTTTAAAATGATTGGTGTAGATGTTATTTTGTCAACCAACTTTGTACATGTAGCATAACTCTAAGCAAAATGTGGGAGGTCAAATGTAAATTTTCAATATACAACATGCAAAACACAAAGAAACACAAGCTGTTTGAGCCTCATTTCTTTTTGTATAAAATGTATTTTGAAACAATAGATTCATAGAGATTGTGTTGTTAAAAAAAAAAAGTTATGAATTTACGCGTAATATCATTTTATTGAATAATATGTGATTAAAAAGAATAGAGAAAAAAATGTATTTTGAAAAAAAAAAAAAAGGATTAAACAATGCCTAAATATATGAATTTCTTAATTCCATTAATGTGTGTGCAATTTGTAACAGGTGGATAATAATTAGGGCAATTATATTCCAAAAACAATTTTTGTTCACTACCCATATATTAATTGCAATGAAAGTCTCCAATTTTTTCTCGTTTCACATTTTGTGTCCCCAACTTCTTTGGTACAATCTTATCTTTAACCTAAAAAAATTAGCATATATTGTCTCTAATGACAGTTTGTCCAAATATTATGTTAGCGTGGGGAAACACCTTTTTTTCGAAAGCTTTTGTGTTGTTCAATTTGATTATTTCAAAATGCGATAGGCTAATAGTCTCTCTACTCCATCCAAACGAATTTTCTGACCGATATCAAGGACAAAATGTGGTAATTAACAAAAATTGTAGGGAGAAAATGGAACATGAGACTTATAAGGAAAGATATAAAATACAAGGAATCAAAGAATAAAAATAAAGGACACGTTTGACACTCTTTAATTTATTTTAATTTATTCAAATCTCTTTTTCTACCAAAATAGTTGTCAAACAGGCACAAAAATAAGAATGTTTAATAATTGATATTCGAACATATAACTTTGTTTAAGCCAATTAATATATCATGCATTGAAATTACGGTTAAACTACAAAATTTTTATTTAGGTCGTAAATAATTTAATCAAAATTTTTTTTCCTCGGAATATGTATAGAAATTAGTAATTCACAACGAACAAATTTCTTACTTTGTTACTCGAAATGAGTAAATTAAAATAGAAAATAATCAATAGAATAAAATAAATTAATCCCAAGAGTAATAGCTTTGGTGGGCCATGTCTAAACAGCTAGATATTGGCAAATAAATGACTTCCTTATCATCTTGGAACTCTCAAATTGCGTTGACCAAAATACAAACAACTATGTGTCCTATAATTTATAATAGAATAATACTACTTGCAGTCGCTCACTGCAGCATCACCCTATGTGACGCACACATGGATATTTAATGCATCAAATACACACTTAACATGTGTATGTCACATAAGGACGATTGTTGCAGTGAGCGACTGCAAGTAGCATTACTCTAATTACTCTTTATAATAACTTTGAAACACATAACTTATATTTTCAAAATGCAAACAATTGTGGGTTAACATTTGGGACCAACAAGTTGTGTGAACCAAAATGTAAACAATTATGAATTCTTATAACATTTGGACATAAAAAATGCGTTGACCAAAATGCGAACAACACAATTTGTAGGTCATACAATTTATTACTGGATTACTATAACAATATTTGTGGGTCCATGCAATTTATTATTGCATTACTGATATACAACACGGTTGTTTGCAATTCTAGTCCACACAATTTATTACTGCATATTATTACAACACAAAATGTTTGAATTTTAGTCCGCACAATTTGTGAATCTCAAAATTATAAGAAGTTACATGATCCACAATTATTTGCATTTTGATTCAAACAATTTGTGAATTGAAGATTAAAAGAAAGCCACTCATTTGCCAATAATACATGTGGTAATAAAGCATTACAATAAAAATGTCTTATCCATTTACCACACATTTATTAAATCTTTTATGTTTTGATATTTGTTTAACATATACCGATGCAAACAATATGGGACTATTGTGTTTTATATACATATATAGAAAAAAACAAATATTTGGTAATCAACAAGAAAAGCGTTAACTTCCAAATCTTGCGAACTAAGTTGTTAACCCGTCCTGAGTCTTAATGAGTTAAGCACACGATAACCTTTGAAATGCAAGGCCATCATATTAGGATGGTCCGTCGATTGTGTTACGTTCTGAAGCTCAATCCAAATATTGAAATTGGACATGAGAACAAAATAAATAGAGTTTTGGTTAGGTTTCATATATTAAAGCATCCCTGTAAGTCTCAGTTATTTATGGAGTTTAAGTCGGTTTCGACCTTTAAGTTGATCCAGTGATCAATTTGACCTATTCAGATTGTCATTGATCCAATCATAGTGACAACTTTAATTTGACGCCTTTTGAAATCGTTATTTATTTGGGAATCCTCATATTTTGCCCAATATGGCATCTACTAATGTCGCTTTCACCTAGCTGTCTTAGGCGTGTCAGACTGTCCTAATTTTTCTCTTTATGGAACTGCTTACGAAAGAGTTAGATTGTGTCGGTAGATCTTTTGCCTCTCATAAAAAGATCTTGGGGATCTATTTTGTTGTCGTATTTGTTGTTGGAAAAATCTATCTCACTATCTCATAACTCTACAAGATCAAACTAGTCAAATGACGTATGGTCCTTGGGCCAGGCAAGCAAGGTCGATTAGCATAGTTTTTGCTCCTCTGTTGGGTGCTGCCTTACGATGATGGACAAGGGCGACGTTGCTACCTCAGACATTACCCTATGATGGTTGTGAGAGGATTAGAGGCTAGTTGGTTGATTCATAAATAACTACATTGAGGCGTTCTTACTTCTTAAGGTTGTGAACAGATTAAGTGACCATCATTGTCTATAGAGGCGTTGACCATCTTCATATACTGATGAGCTGACACAAGACATAACGTGGATGCAAGATCCTATGTGGCATCCATGTTAGCTTAACTCAAGGAGTAGACATGACAAAATGCCACATGATTTGTAAAGAGATAGTATATGGTCTCCAAGACTATTTAAATGCTCAATTTTTAAGGCAATATAGCACTTGTTTGGTCCCTATTATTTTCAAAATACATTTTCTCTCTTATTTTCAACCACACATTTTTAATAAAATAATATTACATGCAAATCTAAATCTTTTCCTTATTTTTTAACAACACATTATCCTTGCTTGACACCCATTTTATGGAAGAATTTGAATTTGAATATTGATTGATGGAAGCATGTGTGGTTAAAAAGTAAAGAAAATTTTTGGATTTATGTGTGATATTATTTTATTTTATTTTTATTTTCTAGTCCACACAATTTATTACTGCAAATTATTACAACACAAATGTTTGAATTTTAGTCTGCACAATTTGTGAATCTCAAAATTATAAGAAGTTACATGATCCACAATTATTTGCATTTTGATTCATACAATTTGTGAATTGAAGATTAAAAGAAAGCCACTCATTTGCCAATAATACATGTGGTAATAAAGTATTACAATAAAAATGTCTTATTCATTTACCACACATTTATTAAATCTTTTATGTTTTGATATTTGTTTAACATATACCGATGCAAACAATAAGGGACTATCATGTTTTATATACAAATATAGAAAAAAACAAATATTTGGTAATCAGCGAGAAAAGCGTCAACTTCCAAATCTTGCGACCTAAGTTGTTAACCCGTCCTGAGTATTAATGAGTTATGCACACCTTTGAAATGCAATGCCATTTAGGATGGCCCATCAATTGTGTTACATTCCGAAGCTCAATCCAAATATTGAAATTGGGCATGAGAATAAAATAAATAGAGTTCTGGTTAGGTTTCATATATTAAAGCATCCATGTAAGTCTCAGATATTTATGGAGTTTAAGTCGGTACTTTCAACCTTTAAGTTGATCCACTGATCAATTTGACCTATTCAGATTGTTATTGACCCAATCATAGTGACAACTTTAATTTGATGCCTTTTGCAATCGTTATTTATTTGGGAATCCTCATATTTTGCCCAATACGGTATCTACTAATGTCTTTTTCACCTAGCTGTCTTAGGCATGTCAGGTTGTCCTGGTTTTTCTCTTTTGGAACTGCTTACGAAAGAGTTAGATTGTGTCGGTAGATCTTTTGCCTCTCATAAAAAGATCTTGGAGATCTATTTTGTCATCGTATTTGGTGTTGGAAAAATCTATCTCACTATCTCATATCTCTACAAGATCAAACTTGTCAAATGACGTATGGTCCTTTGGCCAGGCAAGCGAGGTCGATTAGCATAGTTTTTGCTCCTCTGTTGGGTGTTGCCTTACGATGATGGACAAGGACAACGTTGCTACCTCAGACATTACCCTACGATGGTTGTGAGAGGTTTAGAGGCTAGATGGTTGATTCATAAATATCTACAATTCTACATTGAGGCGTTCTTAGGTTGTGAACAATTAAGTGACCTTCATTGTCTATAGAGGCGTTGACTATCTTCATATACTGATGAGCTGACACAAGACATAACGTGGATGCAAGATCCTATGTGGCATCCATGTTAGCTTAACTCAAGGAGAAGACATGACAAAATGTCACATGATTTGTAAAGAGATAGTATATGGTCTCCAAGACTATCTAAATGCTCAATTTTTAAGGCAATATAGCACTTGTTTGGTCCCTATTATTTTCAAAATACATTTTCTCTCTTATTTTCTACCACACATTTTTAATAAAATAATATTACATGCAAATCTAAATCTTTTCCTTATTTTTTAACAACACATTACCCTTGCTTGACACACATTTTATGGAAGAATTTGATTTGGAATATTGATTGATGGAAGCATGTGTGGTTAAAAAGTAAAGAAAATTTTTGGATTTATGTGTAATATTATTTTATTGATAGAATGTGTGGTTGAAATGATGAAAAAGAAAAAAAATGAGAAAGAGAACGAGAAAAAAATGAATGTCAAATTAGGGTATTATTCATCAAAATACAATTTCAAAATACATTATTTTCAAAAAATGAGGGCCAAACATGCTCATAATATTTCTTTTAAGAAAATACGAGTTTATGAGCAAAACCCGTGAAGCCTCTCAATATTTGTTGTTTAAGACAAATTTCTCGTCAAATAGTTAAAATGCACATTTTTACTTGTAAATCTGGAGTTGATTTTTTTTGATTATTTTTGGTAATTTCAATGAAATGTATTACTAATTTCATAATTTTGCATTAGGGTTCAAGTAACGCATTTATGATCAGCTACGCATGATCATAAAATCTTCGAGATTTTTTTCTTAAGTTGCATTCAAAAATCTCATATTTCATCTAAACAAAACAAAAACAAAAATATTGTTCGTCTATATCAATGTTTTTATAGTCTTTATATTAAAATATATCCGATGTCTCTACTAGATATCATGTTACAAGTTTTGATTTTGTTACATATCTCTCTCCAAAAAAAATAAGTAGTTATAATTACAAATGCATATAATTTATTAATGTAAATTAATAATTTACATGGAAATTAATAATTAATAAGAAACTAATGGAACTATCCCCTTTTCTCCAATGAGACATACATGGAAATTAATAATTCCCAATGGTAAATATTTAAAATTTGTTGTTCGATGAAATCTAATCAAAAAGTGAAAAATAATTAATAAACATAAATAAATGACCAAAAAAAAAACAATACCCTTAGTGGGACCCAAGTCAGTCCAGCTCAAATGGACACGTCACCACCTTCCTTTATTTAATGATTTCTTTTATTACACACTGAAATCTCACACAAGTGTGTCTTCTGTATGTATATATATGTATCTACATGTACCCCCACTCTCCCTATATATAAATATATCGTCTCTTTGAAGCTTGGCGTCTCTCTCTATCCATCTTTCCATGTGAGATATGACTTACATGGCTACTCCTTCGCATGTGAGAACCTGTTGAATTCTCTTTATCCTGCTTATAGAGATCCAATCTTATATCAGAATTCAGAAAGAAAGGAAAAAATTCTTAGTGTAAGTTGTTTTAATTCTCTTGTTTTTTCGATTCCCAGCTTTCCCCATTGCACATTTTTTAGGTTTTCTACTTCGATGCCATTATATATACGAATGTATTTGCTTTACTCTGTTTTTAGTAAAAATAAGATCTTTGTTTGATATATATATATATATATATATA